GCTCCAGGTCGCCGTCTGTTATCGAGGCAAACCGCACGCCCACCAGCACCCGCCCCTCCGGCCCGCTGCCGCCGCTGCCGCTGTCCCCGAGCGCCCGCGCCGGGAGGCCGCCGCGGGCGCCGCGCGGCACGGCGCGCAGCTGGCGTACGACCGGGTGCGCTAGCACCGCTGCGTGCGCCGCGAGCTCGAGCCCGCCCGGCGCTCCCTCCACCTGCTGCTGCCCCTGCTGCGTCTCCCGCCGCTCCTGCTCGTCGCCGCCCGTCTCTTCGCCTTCCGGGGGTCCGAGTTCCAGGCTGCGGGAAAAGTGCTGCTCCTCCAGCTGGCGCTGCTGCTGCTGCTGCTGCTGCTGCTGCTGCTGCTCATCAGTTGGTGTAGCAGCGGCAGGCTGCTCGCCGCCCACCTCCAGGTCGCCAGCCGCCGCCAGGCCGGCGTCGCGCAGCACCTGCTTTGCCGCAGACAGCACCTCTTGCAACTCGGGAGACACCTTGTAATGCGGCGCAAACGGCACCTGCAGACGCCGGCAGCAGGGGCAAGGCGTCTGCTGAGGCCCTTGCTTGGGTGGAGCGGTTTGTATGACACGCTACTCCGTGACCATTCAAGCTTAACACGTGCGAACAACTTGTGACTGTTGCGAGCAGCACTGTCTGCTTGAGGCGGCGTCAGGCGGTCGCCACCGCAGCCGCAGCAGTGGCAGCGGCGGCACCCGCTCCCGCTGCCCCAACGACCGGAGTTATGCGGCTTGTTCTGCCTGAAAAAGCAGCCTCTCACCACATTGTGTCCAGCCGCTGCTGCCGTTGCTTCAAAACCGGGTGCGGCAAGCACAAGCCAGGCGTCGTCGGGAACATACTCGCTCCACACCGCTCCCTGCGCCTCCAGCCGCTCCAGCAGGTCTGTCGCTGACTTTCCCGTGGTGCCTGCAATGCAAATGGATACCAATGAGCGCCAGTAGAACGATCGACACCGCGCGGCCGTGCCCGAGTCCGGCACGAGTCACTGCGATCTATCCCGCGGCCCACCTGCAGCCAGCTGCAGCAGGTACTGGTTCCGACCGCATAACGGACCCCATCTGGGATCTTTGCACGTCTCTTGCCGCGCCTGCAGCAGCCTGCGACCCAAGTCGCTCCTGCAAGGGCCAAAGAGGGAAAGAAGGTGAGACCTCCGAGGGGTCTAGCCCGGGGGCCCAAACGCGGGTGAGACATGCGTCCAACGCTAGGGAAATGGTGCTTTTACGTCTCACGCCTCATGCTGACGCCTTTCAGCAAGCTGCAGGCTCACCGCGACTCGTCCCCAGTGATTGTGGCGGTCCTCAAGAACACGGCCGCCCGGGAGCCTGAGCATAGGTGCAAGAGCACCACCCCAAGCACCCAGAGGGCCTTCCAGCTCGCCATGCTGGACGCCCTGCGGGCTTCACAGTTCTCAGTCGCTGTGCGCTATTGCTGATGCCGTCATTTCGCGCGTCTGATACCTATTTTTAGGCGAAGGAATAGTTTGGAAGCCGTATGCGATTTCGGCGTGTTCAAACACGTTGAGCCGGCACGGAAACCACAAAGAAATCGTCTGTGTGAGAGCGAGTCAGGCCCGCCGTGACTCGGAAGTTTGGAAAGGTCAATGCGCCGCCACGCAGTTGTATAACTTACCCAAACACGATAAGAGCTAGGAACACCCTCCGAGCAGCTGGGGCCTTGGCAGCGGTGAGACGGATGGCGCCGCCAGGAAAAAAAAACGGCGGAACGTACCTTCACTGGTTCTGCGAGCGGCGCGGAGGCTGCTGCTTTTGAAGGTGCGTGCCGTGCAAGTCAAGGTCATACGCACCGAGCGTGCTGCTAGGACATCATACATCAACATGCTGTCCCAATGGGTGA